CTCTTCTATTCTTATTATACATACTAAGTAGATATAATTTCTTTATTTATATAACTTCAGGAAAACCTATAAACTGAACTAGAATAAAATGAATTAATTAATGATCTACATAATTACAAATTGTACAGTGAATAATTCTAGAAATTCTTATTCAAAAACAATATATATAGTTTTTTTTTATCAATAATAAATTAAACGAATATTTCAAGAATATTTCCAGAAAAGAATGATAAGTTTTCTTGATGTGAAAAAAAAACTAATATTTAAAGGGTATAAATGATAGTAAGTAAGAAAGACTTTGATCGAAATGTACTAATAAAGATTCACAAATAAAATACATAAAAATCATTTAAAATATTTCTGTTAGAGAATTAGTAAATGATATTTCTTTTCCTTTACAAACAAACTTACGTTTAACAATATTTAAATAATAAATCAAGCGGTGGATTGTTCTTTTGTACAAATAAAAATAAATGATCGTTTTGAAATTGTTTCAACTCTTGGACGTTGATGGAGTGTGTCTTATGTTCTCCATCACTCGTCAGCAACAGCAGCACTCGGTGAGAATTCTTGCTTGAGGCGCCCTCTCTCGGCCATAGCGCATCCCAAAGTGGTTTCATCAAAATTTGACAAATAAATCGTTTAATATAAATAAACACAATTAAACTCATTTCATTACTTTATATAATAATTGTTGAAATATTTTACTTAATATAATAACATCGTATAAAGAAATTCATCCGTAACTTTGACATCTTTAAAAAATAAAATGCATGACACTTCGTTGAGTGATTTACGGGTTTACATTAATTAACACAGAGTAACAATTTTCAATTTAAAGTTAACTTTGCTTCGTCCATGCGAGCGATTTGTTATTTTTTTTAAATTATTTATTCTCTCTCTTAATAAGAATTATATTTATATGCGAGATGGGTGAGCTTTCCGAACCCAGAGCAGAGAAACAACAATCGAACGATATTTCATAATGTAAATATGTATCATGCGGTTTCGCAATTATGTTCCCGATGGATTGTATCTTGTAAAATAATTACAGACCATGTAAAACAGTTTTAATTATTATAATTGTTCTCCGCACAATCTTCCCCCTTCGACATTATATTTTATTACCACCACGCATCTTCTTTTTAACAACAACAACAACGGCAAACATTGTATTTGCTGGATTCTCTTATTTGCTCCTCCATTCATCTCTATGCCACTCAATTTTCTTAATTAATTTCTCAACGTAACTATTCTCTTTTTGTTCGTCTTCTAATTAAACATTTCTTTGTCTGCACACACACACACATTACTCGTAATTCTCTTACTGACACAAAACTTATGTCAATTAAAATTATTTTTTTACATTTTAATCTACAATGTTACAATGTTTCAGTTACTTCAAGAATGCCACAACTGTATTCAACTATAATTACTATCTTCCTAACTACTAATACTATTTAATTCCCACTGATTCTGCTTTACCCAAACACTTTTTTTAGTGAAAGTGTTACATAACAAAATATTATTTATTATAAATGGATAATTCTGTCTTAATAATTTTTTTAAGAAACTCAAATTATTCTTTATAGGAAATGTAACTTATTCGTAAATAATTTATGTTTATTTTCATGCTTTTATTATATCATCTATTTTTAGGAATTGTAAGAAAAATAATTGTCAGTTTATTAGATATTTCTATTCATTTATTATTTTTTTTAGATGATCCACATAAAAAAATTCAATATAAATTAAGTTAATAATTATGCTATGATTCTACTTGAATTACAATTATATAATATAAACTGAATACTTAATAAAGTTGTCTTGACTGTTGAAATGTTTTCAATGATCATCTTTTGACAATTCGTAAATATCATGTTAATTTAATAATACCTTTTCACGTTCAAAATTTACATTCATTTTTTTCAGAGAGAAGATCGGTTATTATCGGTGTCGGCAATTCCGTGGGTATCGACAATTACGATGATTTACATTCGTAAATTTCATTTGAATATAACGAGCCAATTTACACATGTATGCATATCACATTAAATCCACGTCTCCACTCGGATTTACATACAGACACATTAAATATTGACCATTCATCATTTATACTATCCCGTGCGTCGGGGCCCCCGAATGTGCATAAATTTACGTTTTCGTTCTCCACTTTTCTCCCGCTTTTTGTAATAACCCTGCGATCCGATCGATCGTCACTCGAGGGGGGTAGCAAAAGTTATCTTTCATTAAATTAATAAACAATCTTACGTTAATAACGCGCGCAATAAATATGAGCGGAATGAGAAATGTCGGCTGTTTATTTCTGTATTGTTATATTTTTATAAGTCTTATTGAAAATGTCAAACATCAATAGAAAGCTACAATGAGTAATCAGAAACGGTAATAAGCAGAAAATTGTAATTTCTTATTAATGCTTAGTATATTTTTTTTACAAAACGCACGAAATTACAACAAATTTTATCGACGTTACGTAATATGCCAATAAATTATATCATCGACTTCTGAGTATTCATAGAAATCTAGTGATTATCGTTATAATACATATATATCTATATTATTTATTTATTTCAGTGCTGTACGTTTATATCATGAATAACCTTCTTATCTATAATAACATAAAATTAAAGAAATACTTAATGACATCTATTATAAAGTTTAATCAATTAATACAAAATCAATAATGTTTAACCATCATAAATATATTCATTTTTGAGTGGACGTTTAAATTATATGTAATTTTCTAGATTTTTGACAAAATTATCTATCAATATTTTTTAATAAAATGTACAAAGATTCTGCAAATATTTCTTAGAATCTGTTAATAAATGCTATATTAAATAAATGTATATTAGATTTTCAATAAGGGATAAAAAAAAATGAATCAATTCGTGTTTTTGCTAGCAAAGTAATAGAAAAGAGTTCCAGGATTAGTACAATAGGACAATGTATCGTCATATCCTTATATGAAGTAATGCATGGAGCGTATAATAAGCAGACGACACAAGAAAAGGAACATTAAATTGAATTTTAAAACTGAATTGTAAATGCAGGTCTGCGGATGGGGAGGGTATATATTCCATAAGAAAATTAATATTAAAAAAAGGAAAAAAAATAAATTGAAAGTATATATGTATGAAATGCTGCGAAGGGGGTGCAGAATAGAATGGGTATTATTTTGAATAGGTGGGCTTTTGTGCAGAGGGAAATTGCATTTGTGGATCGAACGAAGACACAATGGATGTGTTATTGAATGCATAAAGATCGGTAAATACAGTTTTAATGAGTTTACAATCGCGAATCCATCATGGAACCGTCAGACGGAGGAGGCCTAATCTCAAACGACGTTTTAATACCATCGTTTTCCTTTAATGAGTGCGGCAGGAATAAAATATTCATTCGCACAAAGCCAATTCCGATCCCCTCCAATGCAGACCCAGGTTTTCCTCCTCTTTCCCACTGCCGTCACTCTTTTACAGGAGCGAAATCGTGATTATGCATGCTCGCAGCCCAGAATTCGGGCTCCTGTTTTATCCTTTTGATTTGCGATTTGGGCGTCGGGCGGAATCTAAAAAAGCTGTGTGTACAGCTGATTTCCACACTGCGAAACTGGGAATGTAAAGCAACAATACAAAGAGGTGACAGTGTCGGTGATGGATCACTAGACAATATGGCGCTCATTTCAATATATTATATAAGGGTGCAAGTTGACCGAAGATGCGTGCCTGTCAAATGATGATTTATATGCAGCGCGACTCATGTGCGGACAATATTCCTCCTCTCTCGCTCTTCTATATGTATTTTTTTTTTACTAAATGCTATTTCTGTTTTGTTTCCCACCATAGCATTTTCTGCCTTCGTCTCTTTGTGATCTGTGCGTGTGATTCGATTAGACAGAAATTGACGCCGGCGTCGGGGGACCACTTTTTTTCCACCACTTATCGACGCCACTTCACAATAACATCCTTAACTCTACCGATAAGTCCTGAAGTAAAACAGTGACAGCGACTCATTTTTCGGGTGCTCAGATAAAATTCGAACACTAAAATAGATACAATTTGCAGACGTACAAATCATTCATATGCAAACACACATTTCTCTCAAGATAAATTTGAGTTATGTTTGTAACTTCTAGATTAAAATAGTTAAAAAAAAATAATTTCAAAACATATTTTTGTATATAATATATAAAATTCAAAAATAAAATTTGTATAATTTTCGTATCAACACTGAGTGATGAAAATGTTACTTAAATTTAATATTTTATGGCCAATATTATAATATTGTATTTTAACATGTGTTTGTTTGTATACAATATATATAAATAGTTTAAATTATTTATAGAATCTCTAGATTCTAATTACATAGAACGAATATAATATAATTATTTGTATTGCTAATTATAATTTATCAGTCTTTATACATTTATTTCTATGTATATGCACATTGACTAGACAGCATTAACCAATCATAATCATCTTGAATTAATATACAATATTTAGTAGTCTACTTGTTTGAATGCTTGTTTTGATTTGATGTACTAACTCACGAGTCGTTCATTTCGTAAGTAAATTTTCGTAATTGACTACATTTAATTTACAATTTGTAGTCATTATAATTGTTACAAGGTTTTCCCGTAATTGGTTATCAATCACAAAGTCCTTCTGCTTTGGGTATATGCCTATTGCGTTAAAACTTATTACTCTAGTAAATTGCCTAAGTGCCATTCTATTGTATTACAAATGCCAAAGGGTAGCAGCGCTCAACCATCAAAGTAGTCCAAGCGAACAACGATATTTATTAATCTATCCGAATCCACGCGATACGGCAGCGTCCATACTCAACGTAATACCTAAATAGGCAGACATACTGTGTACTAAATATCACATCTACACTACTATGCAATCAATAATAACAGCATAAGAAACTATTTGATTAATAAATTTATTAAAATCTTAATTATATAAAAAATATTATGTATAACTTAAATTAAATACTAAGTTCTTGGTGCTCCATATGCATCCGGCATTCTTTCAATTGTATACCTATGATTTGAAACATACATAATAGGTACACCAGCAATCTTCCTAATTCTCTTCTTCAAGTCCTTATCATTTGTAGCAACTATATAGCATTTGTGTTGTGTGACCCTTTGCACCAAACAGTCATCAGCATATGTACCTTTATGCATGCAGGTTATTCTTTCAAATCTTGGATCTTTGATGATTCTTAAAGCAACTTTATACTTCTGTCCTAACTTCTCCAATTCAGCCAAAACACAATCTGTTACATATGGTATGCATTTAGCATATAGGGTATCCATCATATTCTGTATGATATCAAGCTTATTTCTGATGGAGAAATTTACGAAATTTGTATCAATCAAAACATGGTATGGTGGTCCTAATTGTGTGTTGTACTGGAAGAAGAGAGCAGAGCTTTGCTGAGGAGCTTCACGAACCTTCAGCTCATGGGGATCTTCCTTTTTGTCTTTCTTCTTTGGCTGTCTTAACTCTTCCTTTATGCGACTGTCTGTTAATTTAATCATCTTCTTCATTTTTGCAAATTTTGTGTCTTTCATCTTTTTCGCCTTGCCCCCCTAAAAAATAGAATATAAACATTTGTTTATATAGAATATTGTATATAAAGACTTACCATTTTTGCAGATTTTTAGAACTGTTTATACAACTGGAAACTACAACGTGATTTACTTATATAGGTTATGTTGTGGGGTTATGTTTTTAAAATTATCTATTGCTGCCAACTTAAAAATAAAAGTAGTTCTAATTTATTTTAAATTTTCCTAAAGTGCACTTTATGTAAAATATATTGTGTTGTCATATTAAGTAATAAGTTGTTCTCGAATACTGTTTATTGAAATTTCTTGAATTTGAACATAGTTTGAATTGTTATATAGATGTGTTATAAGAGCATTAAATAATTATGAAATGAAGAACAATAAGTTTGGATATTCTTTTTATTATTTTCCGCTTCAAACATATATTTTGATATCTCATTGCACCTTTGTACTGGTTACACATTTAATTAGAGCAACATGCGACAGAGAGCAAAGTACAATAAATTGGCAGTGTACAAATTAATCAAATGTGCAACAAAACATGCTCATGCTATACTTCCTACACAATAAACAACATATAACAAACAAATCATCATTCTTTAATATGTATATATATAAAACAAATCTTAATATATTTTTTTTAAACATATAATTCTATATAAATAGAGCTCTAAATATATATTATATTGATCTAAACACTTTGTTCACTTAAGTAACTACAAATGGCGGATTATTAGAATAAACATTTCAGACTTTTACAGATATACATATATACGAGTAACATTTATATTAAGAGATATCTTAACTAATCCATCAATCCTTTTTTTGTACTAAACCCAAACGCCATGCGGATTTTTATTCGTAGGTACGGCATTCTCTAGTTGCCTCGGAGATCCGATCATTTTTCGCGTACTTCCGGCTCTGTTTGGTCCCTCGAACACTTGCTTCAATTCTTCTTGTGGTGCAATAGTTAAGCTTTGTAAATTTGCCTCTTTCATCTCAGTAACTAAATGCTCTACTTGCTTCTTCTTCTCGATGATCGCAGCTTCCAATGCGGCTACCTTTACGAAAACACCCTTTCAACACTTTTAGCAGAAATGTAACATGATTCTTACCTCTTTCTTAAGACTCTCGGCAGTTAAGTGATGTAATTCAGTGCTTTGTTTCGCCAATTCTATATCACCTTGTAACCTTTCCATTTCCACCAACAGGTTCCTTTCTAGTTGCTTCCTTGATTCACTTCTTCTTGCAATCACTCTCTGTTCCATTTGAACTTCATCCATGACTAATCTACAATATAAATCATATTAGTCATTTACTTTAAACAATCATAATTCCATTAATACCTTATTTTATTTTTGCATTGTAACAATTCCGTTTCACAATTGGCAAGTTTTGATCTTAGCAAAGTTATTTCAGACTTCAGTGTTTTCTCTTGCTGCTTCACTATTTCTACTTCCTCTTCAACATAACCCAATGCTTGAATTTGATCACTGTTAATTCTACTAGCATTTGTCATTGTAGCCAATTCCTGTGCAATAAAATCAAGTTGGAACTGTTTCTCTCTCTCCTTTCCTTCCCAAAACACAATTTCAGCATCAAACTGAAAAATAATGAAATTAATTATACAATTAATTTATAAAATATATGCAATTGAGTTATACCTTCGTCAAATCTACTTGTTGACTTGATAGTTTATCTCTTTGATAATTCACAAGAGAAACGAGTTCACGATATTGTGCATTATAAAGAACTGATTCTTCAATTTTCTGAAATTTGTTTACAGAATCTTCCTCGACTTTATTATTTGTAAACTCCTTAAAAAGAAAAATTAGTTAGATTAATTAACTTCATTTAACTGTCATCTATTACTTGTAAAATATTCTTTTTGCTTGAAGATGTTGGTGGTGGTGGATCTCTGTAAGGAGGAGGTGCAGGGGGGTCTTTGTATGGAGGAGCTACGCGTTGACTAGGAATATCAGAAGTATCAAAATTGGTGCCTTTTTTAGGTGAATTTTGGCTATCACGGACCTCTAATGATGCAGGTCTTACCTGCGGTATACCCTTAACCACACCAACATTGTCCACAGTATTAGCACTACTAAAACAAGAAAAATTAGAAATTCAGAACATACAAATTGTAGTATATGTTACTTGTAATTAGGAGATTTTTGTTGCCTCTCCGGAGAATCAATAGTGATATTTGTCAGTTGTGGAGCAGGTTGTGATGTTGAAATTTTCGGTCTGCTGGATTTACTCTCACTCCATTGAAGAATAAATTGAACATCATTTGAATATTCTCCCCATTTCATAAGAATCTAAAAATTTTAATTGTTATTAAATATACATTGTAAATAATTATTTACAAGAATTACCTTCATGGGATTTTCAGTGGGTGCCAATTGTCTTTCATTATTTCTCCATCTTTCAATCAATGTGAATCGGCCTGATTTTCCAGTAGCATGTGCCAATGCGAAGACCACATCCTAAATGCAATTTTCTATTTATAACAAGATCAATATTTAATAGTCAATCTTACTTGGCAAGTTGTAGCTTCAGTTACTCCACACACAATTCTTTGGATGCCCTCAACCCAAACTTTTAACTCCATATCTTCCAGAGATATATACAGGATATTTAATACTTTTTTGAGGGGTTAAAATATATCACACATTGTTATTAGAGCAATGCAATTGCTGGTAAATATATTATAGGAATATTTGTGAATATCCATTGTAAAACACAATTTTAGAACAAATCCATCTCTATATCCACTAACAATCGACTCATTATATCTTTAAAATATGTTTTATTTACTTTACCTATATCCCACTTATAAACGTCAGTTTTTTAAACCAACATGAAGTTAATTGCGACCTTGGAATTACCAATTCAAACAAAAATTTAAACCTAACATTAATTATTATTTTTCGGTAAAATCCAATAAATTCACTAATATATAGAAGTCGTTTAATCTTATTAGCATATAAAACTAAATAATAATATGTAATTTATTATAATTTTTAATTAAAATTAATATTTCAGATAAATAAATAATTTAATAATTTAACCATATAATTAATGTAAGTAATCTGAAAAAGTTGATATAATGATTTTTAAATATATTTATTTAGATATCTTCACATTAACATTTAGAAAAATATCATTTGAACTACTTCAAGTTGGTATGTTGTTTATCATTAGATCAAAACCAAAACTATTTGTAATTTTCTAAATCAATATTTATGCCTGTTAATAAGTAAGTTCCAAGATATTATGCAGAATGTATTTTGTAAATCTCTTAGTTTATGTTTTATTTGTCCCACATTATACACTAAGCGACTCCAGTGTTGATGTAAGCAATTCTAAGCTCAATGAAGAGTTATGTATCCTTACATATAATACATATTAATTTAGCTGTATTCTATAAATTATTCCTTAATTAGTTTAAGATGTTAAATTATTTAAAAGGCAAAGGGTAGAACAATTGGAGGCTGTAAAATCTATTAGAAAATTATCAAACTATGACCAGCAATACAACATGATTCTACTGATGGCTGACAAAATCTTCACAGTCATTTTGAAGAGTCGAGCTGAGATTGAGTCCTCTGGATATATACCAGGAATCTCAGATTTTCCAAATGATGATAACACCAAAGATGCACTCTCAAACATTCTGGAAAACACTGCTCTGTTCTCTGAAATCCTATTGAGACTTCCAGACATATCCATATCAATATTGAAGACTAACAATAATTGGGATATGCTTTTGCAATGGAGCATAGCATTTGCACATCAGGTTCAATATCTATTAGATGAAAGTACAATCAAATTATTGCACTTGGTCAGTCAAGAATTAAATCACACAGAGAAGGATCCAAATTATGTGAATACCTATCGGAAAGTGGATAAAATCAATAGTGAAAATATGATAAATAATGCAGAGGTGAAGAAGAAGAGAAGAAAGAAGGTCATGAAAAGAGGACCAAGACTGCACAATGAATTATAACGTTAATTTAAGTATTAATAGTTATTGTCAATTAGTAAATATTGCTCAATTTTCAATGAATAAAGTAATGCTTGTAATTATTATTTATTTGTAATCCTAATATATATATTTGTATTTAGAAAATGAGAAATATATTAAGAAATCAAATTATGTAGTAACTATTAATCAATACTTTACATATTAAAGTCGTTTACACTAATAATTAGCATATTAATAAATTAATATTTATTATTAATACAATACAATGTAGTAGAATTCTCTGGAATATTATATAAGTATATTAAAGTTCTAAAACTACTATTTTATGAGGATATAATTAGAAGGAATGTTCTTCCTAATAACTAAGTGATAATTAACAAAATGTTAATGAACTTATATGTTTTGAATGCTATGTTCTGTATGACAATAGTTTGGCTACAGTACAATTGTTTAAAATCATGCGTTTCTTATCCAAAAACATTTTGTTTTGCGAAATCATGTGAAATTTAAAATCGAAATTGATATAAACGCATGGCAACAACAAAGGGATTTGTCATGATTTTATCGTCTTTCCTTGTGTTGGCAGACTTGGCGCATGAGTGCACTTTTAAGACGATGACTTCATTTTCTTTGCTTCGTTATTGAGAAGTAGAAAATAAAAATAAAAGGGAAAATCAATTGAAGTATATTTATCGGTGCAGGACATTATAAAGGCCTTTGATGTAGGGATGGCAAAGTGGTAGTGCGAAGAGAGGTCGTGTCGAAACAGGGAACGTGTTTTTGTTCATCTGTGTGCGTTCGTGCGTGTGTATGAGTGTATATGTCAAGTGGCTGAAGGAAGGAAATCAGCTGCAGTTTGCAAATACACTTTCAACTCGAGACTACTAAGTTTCCTTATTTTTGTTGTTTGTCAACAACAAAAATTTCCGTTTCCCATCTTCTCAGCCAAATTCGCCAAACTGGAGCGACTACCGGAATATCTCCGCGACACCGTGGACTGGTTTATGGGGTGAGCAGAGACTTATTGAAACTATATATATATTTTTTTTACAGTACAAAGAATCAGATCATAATTAACACCACCATTTTCATTCAGCAACACTTTTCCACAAATAGAGCAAACCATCTATTTTTGGAACACATCTCCAAATGAATAATAAAAAAACAACATCCATGACTGTCTGTTTATGTGCTTTAAAAACGTATATTGATTGCCATTAATTAAACTCAATTCATATCAATTTATTAACGTTTTTCAAAAGCTTATACACTTGTACCTTGTCAAATCATTATTTACCAATTTTTTCTCTTTTTTCTTCTTCTAATGATATACATAACATTGATTTCTTACATAACATGCCAACATTATGTGGATTTAATTCTTTTGTTTGCAATTTATTAAAAATATTTATTTTAGACAAAGCAATCAAATCAGTTCAATAGTGTTTGTTCTACTGATTTGTTATCACAAAAATATATTTACTTATCTGCTATTTGATATTATTTTCTATTGTATGATTTTATTATAATATTACTTAACATGTTGGTTACATCTTAGTATCAAAACATTTTTGTATTTCTTTATTTCATGTCAATAAGAAGTGTTAATTTGATTTGGGACTTCCATTACATAAGGTTGCACATGTAAATAACCTAATCCAATAAAAGGGGTTTTTGCAAAGGTTTCTAAGTTTATTTACTTGTAACCATTTGTCAGTGTGTCATATTTCGTGATGTGGCTGGGTAGGGCTGTAAATAAACTTAAATCAGAAAATACAAGAAGTGTTCCATTGGACGTTGAGCAGACAATTTCATGCTTTTGCAGGTTGTTGTGTATTCAGTGTATATAGAGGATATAAAAATGCTTATTTGATTTTTTTAAATTTTATTACAGAAAAGCACGACGCAAAGAACGAGAAGGCGCCGATACCACCAACACTGGCGACACCAAATTGTATTTGGAGTCGGCGGTGCTTGAATCGAAACTGCCTGAAATGGATATGAGACTTCTAGTAGATTTACCAGCAGGATTAGATTACAACGAGTGGCTAGCATCGCACAGTAAGTTTATCCTCATCTCTTTGAAATGTTTTTTTTTCTTATACGCGAAACGTTGCAGCGATGTCCTTGTTTGATCACGTAAATTTGGTGTATGGAACTGTTAGCGAATTTTGTACTATAACTGGTTGCCCAGATATGACTGGTCCTGGTCAAAGGTAAAAATGCGTTTCAACCAACTCCAGTCATATAATATACAGTGATTATTTCCAGGACATATTTATGGTTTGATGAAAAGGGGAAGAAAACGCGAGTGGCTGCGCCCCAATATATAGATTATGTAATGACGTTTACGCAAAAAACTATCAGTGATGAAACTATATTTCCTACAAAATATGGTAATTACTGTTCTAGTAATATGTTCATATTTTATATATAATATCCAATTTGATTTTCAGCTAATGAATTTCCTTCTTCGTTTGAGTCAATAGTGAGGAAAATCGTGAGGTTATTATTTCATGTTGTTGCACACTTGTATGTGGCACATTTTAAAGAAGTTGTCCTCTTAGGCTTGCATGCGCACTTGAACTTAACGTTTACACATCTGACAACTTTGCATCATCGCTTCGCACTCATAGAGCCTAAGGAAACCGAAGTGCTGCGAGATTTGGAAGTGGCTCTCAGGTTGACTGAAGACAGTATCAGTCCTGAGACCTCGACGACTGAGAATGAGTCAATAGAAAATGCAGATGTTGATAGCAAATCACATAATTCTGACAATATTGCTGGTGAGTCTGTAACTTCTTCTCCCCTCTCCTAGAAAATTAACTAATTCAACCATGTGGATCTTCTAGGTGCAGAGTCGAAATCGTAGTGGCTAAAAATAAATCTGCAAAGAGAATATAATCTAGGGCTGAATTAGCAATTTTAACCATTTTTAGAGCATGTGATTTTCCAAGACATATTAGTGACTTCTTATTATTTTTTTTAGTGCTACAATTTTTATTTATTGTTTTATCTTTTTAATTTATATACGATAAATTTATAAATAACATATTTTTTATTTTTAAACTGCCCCGCCGATATAGAAAAGATGATAAATGAAATAGAATCTGAGATTGCCCTCCAAATATGACGGTTTATTTTTCTGTATATATTTTTTTTTTCTGTTCTGTCTATACATATATACTTTAGAGAGGAAGGTTGTAAATTGTATAAAAGATGTGTACTTACACTTTTAAGAGCACTGGTACCATAAAATTCCTTAGCTTATATTTTATTTCTGTGTACAAATTATTTCTTTAATTTTATTAATTATTTTATCATTGTGATTTAAGAATTCCTATTATAATTTTTCTGTACAGTGTTGAATTGTACCTTGATTAATGAATGAATATATATATATTATTATTATTGAAGAGACAAATATGATATATGAAATGCAAAAAAAAAATATATATTTAAAGTGGACTTTTGTTAATTAATTAAATAGTTATTAAAGAACAAATAGAGATATGTAAACTACTAGTTATAGCATTGTTGAAAATTAATAAAAACACGTGACATGTTGATTGTCTTTTTTTTTAATTAAACGAATTTAGATCTGCATCATATTTATTGTCTTTTCCTTTTTAACATATAATAGATTCTATTAGATGTATCTCCTATATTGTAATATACAATTACAGTGGAACCTCGCATAACGAGCATTTCGCTTAATGAATTGTATGAAAAATGACTACGTTTTGCATACGAGTGACGATGAGAAGACAAGTCCCAGATTGCGCGCCTGCCACAGCACATGTGTATTTTTAATATGTTTCACTATACGAGTAAAAATTTTGGAACTCGTTAAGCGAGGTTCCACTGTATAACAGACTTGAACCTTTAATATATTCTATACATATGAAGTTTATCTACTTAATCACTGTAGACAATTCTGATAACCTCTTCAATGGTTACAAATGAAAGAATTTGAGTCAGTCTTATTGGTATTATTGTTATATTTGTAACATATATTTTTTTCAAATTTATTTAACTGGATTTCGCTTCAAAATTTTGTTTAATTTCAATAAAATTTGGCATTGCTCAAAACATGTTTTTAAAATAAGATATTCTTTATTGTATTTACAAGAAAAATATTTGCAGAAACCTATTCAATTAAATCATCAATATTACTATATTATAAATTCTATATTGTTATAGTATTTTAATATAATTCATATTTATCACAAGAAAAATAAACAAGGTGTTCTCTGAAAATTTCGGGATTTACGAGTGTTCATTGCAGGAAAAGCTTGGGAAACCCTGAGCTAGGATATTCTAACGCAACCAATAGATGGCAGTAGATGCAGACGTTAGCAACCATAATTAATACTTTGGACATTATACTACATTGTCGCATTTATTCACAATACAAACATAATGCTGGTTCTTTTTGTTAGACAAAAGTTGATTTTCCTGTTTTGAATTATATATGTGTTACACATGCTGATGTGTCATTTTACTTCAATTTGCATGGAACATCCATCAACGTGACCGAGATAATGTGTTTATTCTCATAAATTTCTCTTCTTGCAGAATAGAAAACGAACAGGATCTAGGAATTCAATTTAGTTGTGCTTAAGCTGTGAAAGAAACATGAATACCTTAAACTACGTTCAGATTTTATTTTGCCTAATGATAATGTTTGTCATTATTTTAGGCAGTTTACTTAATTATTTTGAGAAGTATTTACCCATTTTTATCGTACAAATTTATCGATACGGTAAATTCTCATATACCGGGAAATCTTCTTTTATCAAACCAATTCAAGTACCAAAAGCATGGTTTAGACATTTCTATGTATATTCAACTATATTGGTACCTGCAACATTATGTTTAACAATAGCTTCATATTATTTTAATATAGAAATTCCTCATTGGATTATTTATGTATTAGATCTTACTGGGGGTTATTATCGAGAGCCTGCTGGTGAGCAATTACAAACTACATTGATTACCCATTAAAGATTGGAGATTTTAATTTTAAATTATTTTAGTTACTAAAAATCATGTTTTATTAGCACTGACTTTGCTAAGCATCCAATGTCTAAGAAGATTTTATGATACTCAATTTGTATCAGTTTTTGGGGAAAAAAGCAAAATGGATTTATCTCATTATTTAGTAGGTTTTATACATTACACTGCATGTATTTTAGCAATATTAATTGAAGCTCCAACATTTGCTAGATCAGGTTTGATTCTAATGTGTTTACATGCTTATTTCAATTCAATTAATATCATATTTTCAGTTGATACATTTGCCTTAAGTTTCAATGATTTCAAGTTAAATGATTACATTTTTACTGGTGTATTTCTTTGGGCATGTTTGCATCAATACAGAGCAACAGTGATTCTGGCAAACTTGAGGAAAAACAAGAAAGGTGAGTGATAACAAAAAAAAATGTGCAATTTGATTCCTTTAATATTATTTATAATAATAGGTGAAGTGGTGTCACAAAAGTATCAATTACCTAAAGGAGATTGGTTTGATTATTTATCATCTCCACATTCAACAGCAGAAATAATAATGTACTTCAGTTTATCAATTATCCTATGGGGCAACATAACTTGGTTAATCATTTTCTTCTGGGTTCTGACAAATCAGGTACAAATGAAGTTGTATATTGAGATGAGGTAATTTGAATATAATTATGTTTTTATGTGCAGATTGAAACCATGTTACTGAGCCATTGGTGGTATCAAGAAACATTCAAAGAATTTCCTGCAAGTAGGAAAGTTTTAATTCCCTATATTTATTAATCTAAGAAATTTAAAAGATCGCCCAATTTGTTCAAATAAACATCGGCGACCATTTCATTCTCATCGTGGTCTTCGGAATTTTTATAGCCAAGTGCAACATCCAATTTTGTAACACCTGATAAAACGAGCAACGTTTGGAAACCACATTTCGTTCCAAGCAGTATATCCGTATTGCAACTGCAAAATAATATTCATATGAATAATAGCACAATTATAGTTATACGCATTAATACCGATCGCCAATCATCAAAGTTCTCTTTGGATCAATCTGATGTTCCTTCATCAGCGCTTCAACAATATATGGATTAGGCTTCCCCAATACCAGAGGTTTTCTACCTGAGCAAGTGGAAACTGCAGCTACAATGGATCCAGTTCCAGGCACAACCAAAGACGCGTTTACTGGGAAATTTTCATCAGTATTTGTTGCAATGTAAATGCAATTTGGATTAGCTGTTGTTAATTGTATAATTAATAAAAGTTTATAATTGTTTTAAATATAAATACCCAAGTAACTGGCTGCTTTCATGATCTTAAGATATGAAATATGCTCATCAAAACCAACAATAACTGCAGTTACCTCAGGATCCAGCTTAAGGTTCTTTATGTAATTGACAAAATGCTCTTCCACTACATCTGGCTAAAGAAATACAGATTAATCAATAGTTGTGATAATTATGAAATACCATACACCAATTCCAATGTGCTCTATCCCAACTCTGTCCAACTCCTGAGCAATTCCACCAGATCCAATAACATATGCCTTTTTTACATTCTTTTCCTTTAAGTAGTTGGCTGTTAGAAATGATGTAGAAATCATCTCACTCTAAAGGCAAACAAATATATTATAGATAGATGCAATTTAATTATTGTGTACATTACTTCATCACAAATAAAGCCCATGTTTTTTGCTTTGGAAACAAAATCCTTCTTGAACTTGGTGGAATTATTGGTTACATAAAATACTTTCTTTCCCATTTCCCTGAACTTGTTCAAGACTTGTGGGGATCCCTGCAAAACTTGGCTTTCCATCCATAGAACTCCATCACAGTCAGTTAATACTGTATCAAAAGAATTAACAAATTCTTGAACTTGGCTCTTCTCCAAATTGGACAAAGCTGTCAACGACATATTGTACATTGTTAAATATACAAAACACTAAACTATTATCACGAAGAATTCGCAAATAATTAATCTATATGACGTGTCTTGCTTAGCAGCATTGACTGCTCTTGACCTAACCCAGATAGGGTTATCTCTATATAAAATGGCATATAGCAACCATTAATCGATTTAGGAAGATATTTATACAATTATAAACTATTGCATTATAATTTTCATCATTGACAAAAATAAAATAATGGTATTAGAAAAATTTCATATTTTTAAATTTAAATAATCATTTAAAAGTAGTTCATATTAACATTTCTTTAGATCTAACTTTGACGTTTGAACATTTAGTTGGTATCATTTTGTTTTGTCATTTATTGACATTTACACATTAGGTTAAGTTTTCTTATTTATTATGAAAATAAGCTGTTAAATTAATTGCAAATAATGGAGGAAGTTGATAAAATTATTATTGATTCATTAAGGAATCTCAATTGGTATTTGTCTCTCTTCATTAATATTACATTTATACATGTTAATTGTGTTTTAGTGAGATTGATGAAGAAATTACAAGTCTAAAAGGTTTCACACTAGATACCATAATAAATTCAATTGTGTGTTGTTTAGAAGCAATAAAACCTGGTTTAAATTTACCTAAGAGGATGCCCACATCAATGAGTCTTCGTTTAAAATTATCATCACAATTGGTGGAACTTATACAAAGCATTGGTTTTCGTGGAGATCTGGGATATCAAAGTATTTTGTACTCAAATGAAATTGAGATTCGAAGGGCGTTGATGTTCCTCATTGAAAGAGTGCCAAGAGAAAATGCAAAAGTGGCAGAAATTAAAGTTATTGGTAAATTTAAGCATTGAAATAGTCTGAGAAAAACTTAATATTTGTTCATTATTTTAACAGGATATATTCCAAAATTAGTTAAGGATATTAAAGAAAACCTTAAACTATCTTTAGAACAACCATGGTTACCACCTAATTTCATATTGAATGGAGCACAGGTTTATGATACTACTTATTTCCAACAAGGTTTATGTTACAGTGTGCCTTTGAAATCAGAAAATATACAAATACCAAATACTGCAGAAAATGTAACTGAAGGTAGTAGTATAATAATATATAGTAATATTAAATATTAATATTATTATTTGCATTAGAATTGAAACAATATTGGGTACACCATCTGCCTGATGTTAGTAGACAATGTGAAGCAAGTAATTTATTGGCTTCTTTATTATTCAAAGACAATAATTTTGATATAAATACAAAAGATTTTGTGACCCCAAACAGTGATTTGTCAATACTGCCACTAGAGAATATCACAGAAGAAGTAACTATAAATAAAGTGGAAAAATGTATAGTTATTGATGATAGTTTAGAAAAGAAAATAAATGCAGAAGTTGAAATAATTGAAAGAGAGAAATTGAAATATTTAGCAATGAAAGAAGATGTGAAGAAACTAGAAAAACAGCTGAAACAGTTACAAACGTTAAAACGAACAGAAGAGGATAATCTAAAAGAAATAACAGCTAAAATTAATATAAAAACTAAGACTATGACGGTGTTATCAAAGGAGGAAAATATGTTGAAATTAAAAAATCTCGTTGCCAATGGAAATGATAGATTGCTGGAACTTGCAAATCAATGGAATGATGTTCAAAGTCCGCTGATTGAACAGTATCGTTCAATGAAAAGCAGTTTAAGTGAACACGAAGTAAGTAATTTCCATTAAAGCAATAGTAATGTAAGTAATTTTATATTTTTGTATAACATAGATAAAAGCAAAAGAAGAGAAGACCAAATTGGAAACTTTAAGAGAGAAAACTCGGTGTATGCAACAAGAACTAATTGAGAAAAGTAATTTGGAATTTTCATTGAAACATGAAGTTGAGAAATTGGGCAATTTTAATACAAGGTTAGTATTAACATTACAAAGAAAAAATAATAACTTTAAATGTATTTGTTTAGGTCAAGTTACACAAGGAGAATATTGGAGATAATTGGTAATATTAAGAAGCAAGATGGAGAAATAGGTAAAATCTTGAAGGATACAAGAAGGGTCCAGAAGGAAATTAACCAGTTGACTGGACAGCTTGAAAGATCATTCACTCTATCTGACGCACTAATATTTAAAGACGCCAAATATGATGAAGTATCTAGAAAGGCATACAAGTTGCTGGCCACTTTGCATATAAACTGTGATGGTATTATACAAACTGTAAATGATTTGGGATTCATTGAACGGGAATCTCGGAATTTGCAGGATCAGATTGATGCAGAGCTGGATAAAGATATGGCAACAAAACTTGAACGCGTAAATGCGGATATTGTGGAATTGCGCAAAGAAACAAAACTCAAAGACTAAATAATTTTATATATTTTATAAGTTAATAAAAATAATAATAATAACCATTAATTGATTTCTGGTGGTACATAAGCTTTGTCAGCAGTTCTTGGCTTCTTCATCTTACCAAACCACCTCTTTGGATAATAAATTTTCTTAGCATCAATATCCAGCTCAATCTGTTCTTCATTCTCAAAGAACCATAACCTCTCCTCTCGTAATTTCAAATTCTTCTGAGATGTTTCAATATTTTCTATTCTATTAGCAATGTTGTATCTTTCCTCCTGTCTCTTCAAAGCATCCAATCGATTTTGCTCCCATTTGCTATAGGTTTCACATTGAACTGCAACATCTTTTTCTCCAACATCTCTTTCACAAGATTTCACTTTACTTTCAAGCAAAGTTTTTAATTCACCTGGTATCAAAGTTAATTTCTCCAGAGTTGCCTTCATTTCATTGTCTTCTGGCAATAAATTGAGTATTTCTTTGTAGATTTTTTCATCTCCCTTTACTACATTTTTAGCTTGTTCAGGATCAAATAAAGATATACCCAATATATACAATGATTTTTCTAAATCATCATTTTTTTCAATTGTTGCTTCCATTAACGTTTTACCAACAATCCTTATTGGATCTCTTAAATCAAAATGATTATCATCATATGGATTCCTTAAATATTTCACTCTGACTTTTACTTCTTCCTCTGGTTCTTCTGGCTTTGGCATCTCTGGCCATCCAACTGGATTTAATAAGAAGTTGTAACAGTGAAATATAGATAAGCTAGAAGATAATGGATGATTCATTTCTTCCTGCAGCATTAACTGACTAGCCACCCTTGATCCAGAGACAAAATCTTTAGCCTTATAAAAGTAATCCATTAAAATGTTGGCAGTATAGTTGTCTAGGAATAAACCATAGTTTAACCTATCATCCAGAGCATTCAATAGTTCATCCTTCTTGTCATAATTCAGTAAACAACGAATAACAGCATGTGAAGTGGATTCAAGTGTGTTTGAAGTGTCTGCACTTAACCTCAGCTTATGGGCTAAATCCATCAATTCATCCAAGTATATATCATCTTTTACTGAATTGGCAAAAATATCAACATCAACAGCACTAATAATTCCATTCTTTTGAAAGCGCTGTTCTAGTTCATAGTATAATTCATCATGGTTTATTTTTTGTAAAATTGTACTATTCAATCTATTGTTCCATACTTCATTGCAATAATATGCTTGGGAGAGAAAAGTCCTCCTCTGAGGGCCTCTTGCTGTAGTTTTCAAGATATTCAAAACTTTTAACATTTTTGTTATTTTCACATCAATCTACTCCTTAAATTTAAGGTTATTTATTCAACTTGTAAGATAACTCGATAAAATTAACAATTGTTACCAACCACAGTACCTTGATGCTCGTTGCCAATAGACAAAATAAAAACACAGATTTGTGTACATTTATTTCCTTATAAAGGTTTAATTTTATATATATGTATTAAAATAATAATACAATAGAAATATGTAATGTAAAGATACATTATTTCTTTGATACAAACATTGTCCGTTTTATGCTTGCATGATGTACCTGAAATTATCAAATATTCAGATACATTTGAAGTTGGTCTTAGTTGTAAATTGAAAGTTCCCTGACGTTTCCTTAGTCAAAATGTCTATTTGTTTTTGATTTATAAATATTAGGAGGAAATTTCTTTATTCAATTAATTTTAATAGCAATCGAAACTTAAAGCATTTTGTAAATAATATCATGAATAAAATAACTAGTAAAAACAAAGGTTGTGCAAACAAAAAGTCATCACCTAACCAACAAAAAAATGGGGCTCAGATTAAAAAGTCTGAAGACTATAAAACTGACATTGAGGAGCTTAAATTAAAAGCGAAATCTGTTATTGGAGGAATCTTAAATGGAACTGACATAAATCATTCTATGAAGACTGGTAATATTTATTTCTTATTTTAATAAATTAGTTTATTTTATGTTTCTAGAAAACGTTGCATCACAAACTACTGATAAATTGGAAAATCATGAGAGTTGCTCTAATGATCAGGATGAGGATGCTAATGCACTCATGGAAGTTAAAACAAAGCATAAATTTAGCGATGATTTTAATTCACCAGATTTTGATATAACCTTATTAATTCGGAATAAATACAAAAATGAGCCAGAAGTAGAAGTCTTGGATGAAGTTGCAAGTGAATTGGATGATCTGCATATAACAGAAAGCAAATCGGAAGAAGTGCAACCAGTGGCAAATGATTCTGAAATTCAATATGTGGCTTACCAATCAGAATTACAGATGCCTTTAATTATGAAAATTATACAAAAGGGTTTGTCCGAACCTTACTCAATTTATACATATAGATATTTTATACATAACTGGCCAAATTTATGCTTTTTGGTAAGATATATTTTACAGTTAAATATTATTCTAAATTATGTTCATTATTTAAGGCAATGTGTGATGATTTATGTGTCGGGGCCATAGTTTGTAAGCTTGATATACACAGAAAAGTGATTAAAAGGGGTTACATTGCGATGTTGGCAGTGGACAAAAGTTACAGAAAGCACGGTATTGGTTCAACATTGGTAAAGCGGGCGATACAAGAGATGATCTCTGGAGATGCAGATGAGGTGGTATTAGAAACAGAAATAACAAACAAACCAGCACTACGGTTATATGAGGCCTTAGGTTTTGTAAGGGACAAGCGCCTATTCAGATACTATTTGAATGGAGTTGATGCTTTGAGATTGAAATTATGGCTTAGATGAGGAGTCCTTTTCAAAATGTATGTTGCCATATCCTCAGGGTATTTGTTAGTTCATTAGGACAAAATTATAATAGAGAAATTCATTTGATTTCTTTTTCAAAATTATTAATTTAAAAAAATATTTTAAACGCTTTTCTATTATTTTTGCAGATATTGTTTTCATTTCATTTAAATGCTTTGTGTGTTTTTGTAATACAAAGATATCGCAAATTGTATATTATACGACTGTCGGCGTTTTTTTTAAATATTAATAAAACGTTTTTGTAATATTCAATAATCGGACAGTCTACGCGATTGTATTATATAATTGTACATATAGTTATTTGTAAATTAACCATATTTAAAATAAAGTGTACCAAATCTTTGTATTCTAGGACATTTCAAATTACTGAAATACCATACAAACAACTAAAGAAATCTTGTGCAATAACATTTTTGTTCATTGGTTGTACTTAAATTGTTGTTTAAATATATAGAGTACTCATTTCTTTGATCTTAAATTGTTTTATGCAACCGTTAATACATAAAACATTAAAATGCAACTTTTGTTAAAAATGTGGAATTATTAATTTTCAAGTAATAAAAACAACAACAATAGGGATAACAAAATTATTTATTTTTCTTTTTTCCAAATTCCTGAGCTTTCCTTTTAACAGATTTTACTAAAACACTTAGTTCTGCAGATTGCTTTTTATTATCCTGCTTATGTCTTTTGGCTTCATTTTCCTCTTCATCTCCAGCTCTTCTTTTCAGTTTCTCACTTATCAGTGTCTCCATTGCTTTAGTTTTCTTGTAATGTGGATTAGTAGGTTCAATATTATAATGATGACTAGTAAATAGTGCTGAAAATCTTTCATCATTAACATTGACTTTGAAATCATCAACTGGTTCAGCAGCACTGGCAGATTTCTTCTTTTTCTTCTTGGATTTTTTATCATTTTCCTGTTCTTGAATTTTCTTCAAACTGAAATGCTTCTTTTCATCGTCTCCTTCATTTAATAGAAGTAGCTCCAATTCAGCCTGTTTCTGTTCATCCATGTCTTCCTCATTATCCTCTATCTTCTTTTTACTCTTTTTCTTAAATTCTGGCTTATCAAACTCTTCTGCAAAGTATGGATCATTCATGTCAATATCTGAAGGCATATCATCATTATCTTCACTACTGTCATCATCTTGAGCATTTTGTTTCTTGAGCTTAGTTTTTTCTTTACGTTTTTTATTCCTTTTATCTAAATATTCTTGGAATGGCGTCTTATCTTGATTCTCCTCTTTCTTCTTCTTGATAAGTTGATCTGTTTTTTCTTGGACATCAATTCCCCAAGAGATTTCCATCCCAATGTCTCTATTCTTCTTTTCCTTTTCTTTTTCTTCAATGCCAGCCAGCAAAGCTTTATATTTATCAATGGGATTTTCATTACTTTCCATATCAGAATCATCACTATCAACAGAATTATCTTTTTCTTGTGGTTTTTCTTCTTCAGATTCCTCACCACTGCTAGAAGCCAAATAATTCTGTAAATCAGCTTCAGATATATCATCTATTTTTCCTTTTGCCAATTTCTCAGTTAATTCCTTCCTATCTTGATTAGTTTCATCCCAGGTCAAGTCCACTTTAGATTGTTGTAAAGCAGTTGTTGTAAAAAATCTTGGTTCATACCTGGAAGTATCTGGTAACTTGTCGCATGATTCTTTTGGTGCATCATCAAAGGTCATGTCATCTGGAATAAATCTCAAATCCATCTTTGTAGCACTGGATTCATATTCCATTCCATCACATTCTGTGTAAACTTTGTTAGCACTATTATCACTATCAAATGTAATTACAGCATAATAATATTTCAATCTATTCAATTGATATTGCCTCAATTTTTCCATATGATACTTAGAACCTTCCTCATTTTCTTCATCATCATCATCAACTTCATACTGATCATTACTAGAAACTAACTCTTTTGGACCTTTGATGTCCTCCTCAGCCATTCTCTGTTTACCAAATTCAGATGGATAAATATTAACAGAAATAATAGAACCACCAGGTGGCAAAAAGGATGTCATCAAGACTAGTAAATCTACAGCTCGGATTCTATCCCAATCCATGTTGCAAGCAGCCAATCTATGAGTGACTTCATCAGTTTCCTCAGCATCAGCATCCAACTCACCCCAACCATGTTCAATTTCTTCAATTTCCTCATCAGATTCTTCATCATCTGATGAACTATCTGAATATAAATATCCCTCACCTCTAGCATAATCCACATCCATATCCTTAAGCTTCTTTACAATCTTCTTCGGGATCTCCTTATCAGTTTTATGTTTAACTTTAAGTTCAGCCTCACCATCTTCTTCCTCTTGCTTCTCTGCATCGGAGTCACTTTCATCAGAATTAATTTCATAGTATTTCTTCAAATCCTTGTCAACTGAATGGTTGATAGGCTTTCCTCGCATATCAACTTTTGCAGAACCTTTAAACTTTTTACTATGGAACATAGACTGAAACCGCTTATCAATCTTAACATTTTTCTTGTTTCTCGGAGCCCGCCGAAATTTTGGATCGGTTGCAATATGTTTGAATCTCTCGTCCATTTCTTTATTGTATATTTGATTCACAGTCACTAAAAATGTTCTAACCTAAAATATAAAGAGTTAGAATTTATGAAAGAATTACATGTGACAACACACTAAAACATACCTAAATGTAAACTGGGTAAACTGATTTAAAACATGTGGGTTTTGGATAAAACCAAATCATTGACTGCTCACTTCAATACATTGAATGAACTACTGAACGACTTTGAACTACAGTTAGCAGTGCCATCTTTTAGTAAGCGTCTCAAGACAAGTTTGAATATTTGAATTAATTTCTTTCTTTAGATGCTTCAACATTTAATTCATTTTAGTTGTAACAAAATTAATTTTAATAATACAATTTGTATATTCTCATAATATATAATAATAAACATAATGTTAAGGGTTAAGGACAATAGTCTGTCGGCCCATATTATCATAATTAATTAAAATGTAAAAGACAATTATTTTCGATTTCTTATTGATAATAATTTTAATGTACAGAGGAGATAATATTATAATAATTGGGGTTACTGTTAATTATTTCTAAAAATATCTTTCAGGTAAACTATACAAAGAGGTTTATGTATTTTTAAAGAGTATCAAGTATATTTAATAAAAGTATGAAAGGGATGTAATTTGATGTGGTACCTAAAATGTAATTAGTAGTAAGCTGACAATTTGCAGACTCACTCGAGGTACAATTAAGAGCCCCTACGCACAATTAAGTGGTTAGTAAGTCTCTGTGATCACTTGAAATGTGAACGAGGAGTTTAAAGTTAATAGCCAGTAAGATACGCTCCCTAACGGTCATATTTCAAACGTTTCCCACCTGTTTCATACCTGAGCACAGGTGAGTGGGGCACTCTACCTAGTGGTCACGTGAGCAGAGTTTTTAACGTGGAAAAACAAGCCCAGAGACCGCGCCTATAGCAACGGACTAGCGTTGCTTGTGCCGAGGTGAAAAAATCGCGTCGAGGCATTGTTGTTGTAGTGTGCTCAAATTAGATAACCAGTGCACAAAGACTTCGATTTTCCGGAAGTGATCAATGAAATCGATGCGGTATTAATAAGAGACGAAGGCCCGTGCAGTTCGCAGATCGGAATATGTTATTGTTATTGTTGAGAAATACCATCGAAGTGGGAGATTGCATTTGAATAAAACGAAAGTTTTCAGACGTAACTAGAAAAGAAGTCGCTTCATTAATCAATAGCATAATCTAATCTCGAATTATTTATCTCCTTGTACACTAATGTACTATGCTTAGAGCGCGTCGGAAATGATTTTTTTGGCCAAAATGTTCGAGTTCAGTGTTACGGTCCTATTGGTATTCCTTGTGCTTCACGTTTCTTTGGCTGAACCCGTGGATTTGTGGACCGAGGAGAAGTATTATGGAGAAACGAAAGCCGCTATCACGACGGAGCATTCCGGTGGCATCATAGCGGACGAGCAGATAGTTTTCTCAAGAAACAAGAGTCCGTACTTATTGAAAAACGACTTGATCATCGAAAGGAACGCGGAATTAGTCATCGAACCAGGCGTGGAGATCAAAGTTGTTTCGCAAATTGGCATCACAGTTCGAGGCACATTGACAGCTATAGTAAGTAGCGAGATCTAATTGATTATTACTTGCGGATAAAAAAGTAAACAATCCGAGAGCGTGCAGTAGTCACAAGGCTTTTCCTGGTAATTTTTAAATTACCGGGAAATAAAAATGATTCATGAAAAGCTTTTCTTGGCCATCTATTTATTATTATTTTTTTATCTTATCAAACCAAAGCACGACCTGGTTTGTAATATTGAGCAAACAGAAGATTGTAAAGACCTTTTCAGCATTTCACTTGTTAAATTACATTCAAACAGGTGGCACAACAAATATTTGAGTTCCGATATTTCATTTTTCATAATAATAAACATACATTTTTCTATCAAAATATAATTTAAAGATGATTCAAACGTCCTTCAATATCATATTAATTTAATAATACTACGTGAGACACTGTTTAAAAATATTAAATTTTATTCTGAATAGAATAAACCATGATTCACGTTCATAACATTTCAGAGAAATCACGTTATTTATCTTTATTTAATTACAAATGTTAAAGTATATTTGTTGTATGCGCGACAGAGTTGTGATGCTGATTTATTGAATCTACGATCACGAAAAATGAGTGCGGGCATTTAATATTTTTGCACGAAACGAAAGTAATTTCATCTTACGCAAGAGTTAAAGTTCGGATACTTTTACAGTTTGAGGACTAGCAATTAACTAATTGATTGGTAAAAAATATACTAAAAATAGCAAGATTGTAATTACGCAATTTACTGCTATTATGTATCATTTTTTTCTACGACCGCGTTGGGTATTTCTGAATCACTTTCGCAGCTTAATTGGATCTTGAATTGCCTGGAACTCAATAGAAATAATGAAATTATTTTATAATTTATTGGAATAAACTGGAATTATTCATAATTTCATAACTAAACTTGGTAGTCTATATTTAATAATATACTACTACCACTTGATATCTTCTATATTAATATTCACATAAGATTGACATTTAAATAATAATTTGAATGAATGTAATATATTGTTGTTGCACAAAATAATTCCTTATAATATTTTCGACTTTTTGAATAATAAAATATTGTTTACTAATATTCATTTTTTTTCATTTCTAATTAGATTTAACAAGATTTCTTATTCGTATACATTCATAAAATATTGTACTTTATCTTTCTCTACATTCTAAATATTATAAACTTATTTCTAATTATCTAAGAAGAAAAGTATTAAGGTTTCTGTAACAATCATTGTTTATAAAAATAATAAAGGAATATTTGATTGTATTAAAAAATAAATCAATAATCAAGTATCTGAAAATGATTAAAATTATTTTCAAATAATCAAAAACCGATAACATTTGATAACATGATTTTGATGTTGTTTATTATTAAAATTAGTTTGTTCTTTTTGTATTTTATTATCTGCATTAAAACCATACATTATACATATTTTTGAAAGCAAACGAGGGTTAGATTGCGTTTCTTGATTCGAAAAATAACCTAAATAGTGATACAATCACGAACGGATGTACAAATATGCAAAAATTCTTTGTATAAGAAAAAAGACAGAAATACGATGATATCATCTACTTTTAACTACACTCAAAACTGTAAGGTCCATAACGTTAACGAAATTATTGCAATCATGAAGCGTATAGTTTTCACAGTGGATGACTGCTTTGGGCAACGAAATCAAAATCATCGCACTGTTAAGTCCAGTGACTCTCATCTGCGTGACTCAAAACGCCAATTGAGAAAAAAAAGAGAAGGAAAATAATCAAATAAATGTTGATACTACTAGATATTGAATCATCGATGACCTAAAAAAAAACTGGTTTTTCTTTCTCCTACGACAGACAAAACAATAATGTTCTCTTTAATCGCGTGGGGAAAGAGAAATAGAACTACTGTGATTCGATTAACTGCAAGCAAATTAAAAAAAAAGCTTGTGAAATATTCATGTTGCAATGGCACGATGCATCGAACGTCGTTGCGTAATTGTTACGCTTACATTTTTCTTTCTCTTTAATCACTAATTATAATTGAACGTATTCAAATACGTTTGTTAACTTAATAGTGTTAACTGTATAAAGATGTACATTTAAATTCAGTAGTAATAAAAAAATTCCTTGTAAAACTTCAAACGTGTTCCGAGTAGAAGATGAAGCGCGCACCTCGCTCGAACAAAACCTCCGATGAGTCATCTCACTTTTATAGATTCTACAGGTATTCCTCTGTGCGTTTCCCTTTCCGGTCGTTGTCTGCATAAAGTACCAATGCGAACATGCAAAACAAAAACATGTTTCTGGTTGCAGTCAATGGGATTGTTGTACGCGCCGAAAACAAAAACTGTGAACCATTGCGCTCATGCGGAACCTGATAAACAAAAACGTATCTCATTAAACACATGTTTTACCTATGTAATTCGATTACGAGGTAATTTAATTTAAACGCTTTGTCGCGATAAACAATTCCAATTAGTAAATCGGACGAACACGTATGGATTTCGTTGTTATAATGCTTCCAAATGATCCAAAACCTTGGGCTGCTGCAAAGCTTTCGTGGCGAAGCCATTCATAAATCAATAATGTAACGTTCTTGGATTGGTGAAAGGTAGCGAGGAATAAACAAACTGTGCCTGGAATCCTCGGTAACGGACGTGAATTCAAAGAAATGCGCATAGTTGCATTTATAAATTCTACTTAAAACATCTCATTCAATTATCGTGAACGGAAACGAACTGATTGCTACTGTAGAGGAAATTGAGAATATATCGTTATATCATAATGCAAAATAATACATACCACCATTATTTAAATGAATATAATCTTTATTATTAATATTGCGTAATCGAATAAACAATTAATTAAAATATTTGCATTCCAAAATTTTTATGATATTTCTATTTGAATTTATTTCAGTTTTAGCCAACAATTTTCTCCACTATTAACTTTTAACAATTGGGCTAAAAGAAATGGCAAATAATGGCACAATTTTCATAATACAAAAGCACAGATGTCCTCTTAGTATATGTCAATTTTTAAAGGAAATCTTTTAACAACTACAATTGATAATAAAAAAACAATTTCATTCATGACAATTATGAAAATTAATTCTCGTTAAAAAATATTTATTTAGTAATTACAATGTGTTTAAATATAAATTGGTTATTATACATATTTAAAAAGTACCAGGAAAAGAAATAACTTTATTTTAACGATGGTTTTACTTAACCCTTTCCACCCCATTTTTTTAGTTTTATTCAAATTTTTATAAAAGCACTTCTTTAATAATGAAAAATACATCTAGATTCTATTCACATTAGTTGCTTCCAATAGTTTTAATCATTGAAAGGCGAAATTGAATTTAAAAATTAATGGTTCTATTTGGAATCACTGGGCTGGAAAGGGTTACAATGGGAGATTGAAAAGGAAAAATTATAAAATACACAATAATAAACAATAATAATAAATATCTATATTGTTACATGTTGGCTTTTAAACATAGCGAACTAATACATTCAGTTGATTGATTCAAATCTCTCTACTATATATTTTCTAATAAAGAAATTATTTTAAGTATACATCTTTAAAAACGTATTTAAAAAATGAATACTTTACTCAAATTTCTATGCAATTCAGTGAACGAAACTAGAAAGTGCTATTAAAAAAATAGGTCATGGAGTTCTTAGGCGAAATAAAAAACAAAAACATTTAGTTCTATAAGTATCAATTCCTTACTTAATAATATAAAAATGTAGTAAAATAACATGATTGAAAATAAGAGAATTCTTGTTGTGCTGTCTGTTCACAATGACTGTAAATTTAATGTAATTACGGTCGTTGATTGTGGCGTTAGTAATTGTTTCTATGCTCTAAATGGTTTTCGCTGAGTGAACATGTTAATTGGGATTATCTTTAATAATGTCTTCATCATGTGAAACTATAATTATTGCATGGTTTATGCGGTGAAAGTACTAATTAAGGTTTCAATTGGTGATCCCTGGAGAGTGCAGGTCAACTGGCTGCTTTACATTCGTTTTGTAGGTGGTTTTGAGTCACTTAGAAAGGTTAAATATAATAAATTTAGCGGAGAATTGACAGAAATTAGTGACCTGAAGTCTTTGAACCGGGAAATGAAAGGTCGCAGCCAATAAATTCCTATAATAGTAGACCATAGATAATAGTAAGAAAGGAGGAAAAAAATAGAAGAAGAATTGTGGAAAGGAGTTAATGGGTTTGAGCAAATTACCTTAAGCCACTTTTGTTAAGTTCCAAATTGGGTTGTTTCATTGTGTGCTTTATTTGCTCCTCGTTTGCCTTCGTGCCTTTTGCTTGCGAGCAAGGGAAATGTTGCATAATGCCATTGACCTGCAGAATATACCGTAGAAGAGAAAGAATCGATGTTAGATTAAGATCCACCGTGTAGATAAAGTACCGTGACAAGTCTAGTTGCCTTTGTAAATTTCAGTCTTTCCTCAAGTTTTTTTCGCCGTTTTCAGCATTGAAAAAACCCAATAGCATTATTTTTATATAATTGTATGGAAAAGGGCATAAACAGGTCATGTAAATATACTTTGTTGTGTCTGTTCTAGATTTGACTATGTGAGGCAATTTTACAAAATGATTACAATAAAGATAATATGACAATAATTAAAGAAACCTATTAATGAAATAATGTTTTAATTATTATAAATATTTTAGAACTTCAGAAACGTTTAGCAATACTTAAAATGATAACTCTTTTTTTTAAATTTTGTAAATGGCAGTCAAATTAACATTATCCTTGACATTTATACGGTAAAAAGTGGCTTCTTGGAAACGTGCTTATAAAATGTGGAACATAATTGAAACAAAGGTACTAAACTGCCGTGTGAAATAGTAAACTGGGTAAAATAACAGGATTTTAATGTTTACTCTCTTTTTTTAATTGTAGATTTCAATTAAGACAATTATGATCTAAAATAAAACGCTTTTTGTTGCAGGGCAACCAGAATGAGCGTATTATATTGACCTCGGCTGAAGAACCTTACGGCTCCATTGCAGCTCAAGACATACGTCTGGTCGATGGTCCGAGTATATTGGCCGGAAGGGTGCAGATAAAACATAACGACAAATGGCGTAGCGTCTGCACGAATTCCAAGAAGTAAGTTATAATATATGTGTTTAAGACTTGTGTGTATTTACAAAGGTAATAATTTGCTGCAGTTGGACGTTAGCGGATATGAGTATAGCGTGCAGACAGTTGGGATTCCAAGGAGGGGAATTCTTTATGTGGCACAACAGGGAAATGCCTCTAAAGTCGAGGCTGCTTTACGAAAATCCCAGATGCAGAGGATCAGAAGAAACGATATTCGAATGCGATTGGCATACGCGACAGATGGGCTCCGGCGTTTGCGACTACCATCCAGATCTGGCCATTCGTTGTCTGCCCAGACACGAAAGTCCGAAGAACAATTGGAGAGGAATACGTTTCGAGAATGCCAGGCACGAGAAGATCTTAACGCTGAGCAACACTTTATTTGTTCCAACATCAAATTCCCGGCTGCAATTCGTTGATATTCAATATGCCGGAAGTGGAAGAGATCATAACGCGTCCAGCGCCTTGGAAATCATTGGCGTGCCACCAATTATCGATGAAGTTCAAGTTCTGGACTCGGCTTTCAATGGGATTAACGTGACGAGTCCAGAAGCGCCTTTCACCATCAGCAACTCGAGAATTAGAGCAAACCGAGGTTTCGGTATATTCGTTAACTCGAGTTACGGTTCTGCTCACATAAATAAGTGCACAATTAACGAAAACGGAGGCGATGGAATCAGATATGTGCATAACGAGGAGAGACCAGATGAAAGAATCGATAAAACGGATATAAGTGACTTTTGCACGTTGGCTACTGCCGCCAGTCAGACTTATCCCATACAAATCTTTGTAGACCAATCCGTTTTTACTTTGAAAGAAAAAACGTGCTCCAAGGTGTTCAGCACTCGTTACGGCAATAAAATAACCATACACTTTCTTCGCGCTGAAACCGAGAGAAATAATTCCGCTCAAATTGATGTTTTCGATGGATCATCGGTCAGCAAAAGACTGTTAACTAGTTTTCTAATACGCAACGGCACCAGACCTCAATCTGTGACTAGCTTTAGCAATCAGATTTACATCAAATTTAGGGCTGACCCGAAATTGACGATGTTTTTGCACATGAGACTTACATCTGGTCTCAGTAAGAGCTACGATTTGAATGTGACCAATTCCGACATTTCTGAAAACGAAGGAAGAGGAATCGCTTTTGACAATTTAAGAACACAATTACACATACACGACTCCAGTATTTCCAAAAACAGACACGTGGCTGGTGTCCATGTGACTAGTGGAGTGGGCGATATCAACGTGACGTCGAGCAAGATTTCCTTCAACGAAGGAGATGGTATCAATATTACATACACCGGGGGCAACAGAAACATTTCAAGAAGTTCAATTAGCTCTAATCAAGGGTACGGAGTTGCAATTTGGTTGAATCAAACCAAAGAAACTGAATACTTGTTCTTGAACCAAAGCAGTGTCGTCGAATACACGGAAGTAGTTAAGAATTTGGATGTTGGAATTTTACATGGAAATTATTGCTCAGAATCGTACATTAACATAACAGGAAACGTGGTGCAGCAGAATCTTAACGATGCGTTAGAAATCCTCTCATGTTGGATGAACAGCAACTCATCGACTAAATTGCAAATTGGACATAATCAGTTCATCGGTAATCAAAAAATGTCTATTAAAATATCACCAGCATTAAACCTTGATGGATACATTGAATTTAATAGTTTTAAGCAAGGTTTGCTGGGGCAAATTCTAATTAAAAACAAACCACTGGAAGAGTTCAACTTTCTAAAAACTAATATCCACGTGCAAAACAATTATTTTCTGAAAAATCTTGGTGTGTTCGTTGTAAATTTAGCGTTGAGTCCATATTCCGAAACGCAGCATTTACTGTTTACAAAGAATTTCGTAAAAGAAAACATCATTCAGGAACCATTCCAATCAGATACGATGCCGAAATTGAATCCTCGAAGTCGCGTTGCTGCGCCATTGGTGATTGGCTCAAATAATGTTAAAATATACAGAAATATTATTGAGAATCCAGGAAGCAAATACGAAATTGGAAGTCACCTAGAAGATCAAAGCAGAACAATTAATTGCACGTATAATTGGTTAGGATTCACGGATGAGGAGAAAATCTTCCACAGAATATTTCACCGTAACGACCGTTATAATTTGGCCAAGATCATCTTCGTGCCTTATTTGCTCCATAATTCGCACGCATTAACATCGAGAATTAATATGCACTCGATTTATCTTCCGCATTTTATTATGAAAAATTCTAATGTGGTAGGTGGGGAAATCGAAGGGGAAGAAACATTACCGCAGGGAGAGTATTTAGTTGAGAGAGATATAAATATTAGACCGGGAGGAAAACTAACTTTAGAGCCTGGAGTGTCCTTGAAGTTTCCGCCATCCATCGGCGTTATGATTGGAGGAAAATTGGAAGCGAGAGGAATAGCACCGGACAGCATTAGATTCACTTTAAAAGAGGAGATAGTATTTCAGCCGGAGAACGACACGTACGAAATAGAAACGGAGCAGTACAACTCGGAGACGGAAATCATTGAAATCGAATCCAAGATTCCCATCAGGCTGCTTGGCGGAAAAAGTCCGACGGAGGGAAGACTGCAAGTAAAAGTTAACAACAATTGGGGAACGGTGTGCAATTACGGATGGACAATAAAAGATGCGTCCTTGGTCTGCCAGCAACTAGGCTACACCTTGAATCCGCAAGATTGGTTCCTGGAACGCAATCAAATACCAGAAGCCGGATTAAACGAGTCTCCGATTTTATCGAACGTTCAGTGCACCGAATACGATACAGATTTAACTAAATGCAGGGCAGAAATTGTTTCGGATTTCGAGAATTCTTGTAATCACGACAACGACGTTGGCATCAGATGCTACGAGACGTCTTGGGCCGGTTTACGATTCGGAGTGCTTTCCGAAAGAAGTGATTTGCAGTTTATTACCATCGAGAAAGCCGGTCTATTGGATTATACTACGAGCACTTTGAAGCCGGCCCTGCAGATCGATTTTGCCAGACATAACTTCGAGAATATCAAAGTAACAAATAATTACCACGACGGTCTGGGTATTATGTATTCGGATATATACGCGGAGTCGGTGAACGTTGTGAAAAATTCGGAATTTAGCAATAACAGAGGAGCTGGGATCAGTTTCAAACAATTGGGATTAAAGGTTAGCGGTAGCTTGATCGAGAATAATCACATCGGGATTAAACATAATCCGGCGATTTCGAGCCTGGAACAAAGGGAATTGGCCGGATGGTTCCAGAATTTTGAACAAGATATCTATTACAGGCCTTTCATGATACCGCATGAATTAGATCACAATAACTTGATGGTCGATACCATGAAATATTTGGTAACTTCACCAGTCTTCGGCGATAACATCAAACGTAGTTACAGAATCCGATGCGATCCTGGTTACGTAATAGCAATACAACTTTTAAACCCTATACACAACCAAAGCTCGGAAAGCATCATGGTTTACGATTCGCAGACGTACAACGATTATTCCAGCATCTGGAGCATTAAAAGAGACCTTACCATTTTCCCTACAACTTCAAGCAGTCACGGGTTAATATTAGATTATAACAGCGGTTCAAATTCTCTTGGAGGAACGGTGATCATTTTAAGCTCGATAAGAGCACCCATCCAGGATGTTTACAATAAAATAGTAAAAGGCCCAATTCCTAGTTTATCAATGTACAACACTAAAATACGTCAGAATTATTATGGAATCGAGGTGAATTATTATAACCGATACTTCAACGAATTGGGCGATCATTTCTTGCGGAAGTCTAATGATTCCATGAAATTAATCAACTGCGATTTATCGCACAACATCCAAGAAGCGATTTACATCAACTCTCCGCATTGGGATTTGCATAAGAGTAACATTTCCGAGTTCACTCTCATGATTAACAACAGCTTAATAACAGACAATGGTAAGGGCATTTATCATTTCTCCAGAGACTTGCGATCTTCGAATAACCTATTCCACTACATTCTACAAGATGACACAATTGAAAGGAACAAGGCCGGTGGTTTTGACATAAATTTACCGTACGTTTGGAATTACAACGAAAACTTTACACATTCGGTTTACTTTAATAACAACACATGGAAGAGGAATAATAAATTTAGTTTAAACATCGATGGACACTTCGCTCTAGTGAATATTACTAAGAATAAATTTGTTGAAAATCTTTGCAAAGATGGTTTGATATCCTTTAAAGGAATGGAGAAGAAAATGTTAATTGACTACAACGAAATATTGGGGAATAATGGTAAATATATGGTTGAATTTAAGTCGGAGAGTCAATCGGAGATATTAGGAGATGTGCCTGCAAAGTTCATGTTTAACTTGCTCAAAGAAAATAAATATATTAACACGTTAAGAACATTCCAAATTTACCGAGACCCTACAAGCGTAATTCATTTCAACGGTATCCAGAAAATTAAGGTCAACAGAAACCTGTTCAATAATAATTTTCTTAATTACTTGTTGGTGGCTGGAATTAAGACTGCAAAACTGGACAATAATCTGGATGTCAGTGAAAATTGGTGGGGAACAAATGATGCGGTGGAAATAGAAAAAATGATCTTTGATTTCGACGATTGGAACAATCACGCCGTCGCTTTGTTCAGGCCGTATTTAATGGAAGAGGATTTCTTGGCGAGTCACTCATTGGAATTCGTGGCTACAAAAATACCTGACTTGGATAACTTGGGTGGACGATTGGAGGAAGATCTATTCCTGCCAAGAAGAGAGTACCCTTACAAAGTTCTTGCCGATTTAACTGTAATGCCAAAGGCGACTCTAACAATAGCACCTGGCGCTATTTTAGAGTTCGGTCCGAATGTGGGTATTTTAGTGCTGGGCACTTTAAAAGCCGAAGCTTTTAAAGGTGCTGAAATTATTATGAGGCCAATTTCGAGAAGTGCTAATTTAGAAAGTAATCGAATAGAAAAGAGGGACCTTGAAAAGTTTTCAGTCGAGGGTGGAATTCGACTTTGCAAAGGAGTGGAATGTTTGGGAGAACATGAAATTTTGAACGAAGGATTCTTGGAGTATTTCAATAAAACCACATTGCAGTGGGTCCCCATGTGCGACTCCAGATTTACCGAACGGAATGCCCAAGTGGTCTGCCGTGAGCTCGGCTTTGATTCATTGAGTTCGTTCTTTGAACACGACAGGAGGATCGAGTTCCACAGCAACTCCTTAACCAGAATTTGGTCGTGGCCCGAGCCTCTGCAGTGCTCAGGCACAGAAACGAAATACGAGGATTGTCCTCTCCGATTAAACGGACAGCAGTACGGACATTTCCACAAATGCTCATGGGATTCTAAATTCGTATTCGTCCGGTGCGAGAAATCACAAAAGAAGTCGAGTTACTGGGGTGGCATACGTTTCGCCAATTCCGAATTCGAATCGCACATGTTCGAAAACAGATACCACGACATACACACCCATCAATCGGTGGTAAAGGAAGAATCAAAAATGATTTTCGTGAAGATAATAGGAGCCGGCATTTTGCACAACGAAAAATCTCCTGCAATTCAAAGCATCATCAAGAGTCCAATCATCAATTACGTGAATGTAACGGATTCAGCTTTCCACGGTATCAATTTCATTTCTCCGGCGCAAACATTGAATTTGCTTTCAAATCACGTTAAAAAGTCTTTGGGAATTGGAATAAGCGTGCTTTCGTTGACGGGCGAAGGAAGGGAAGCCGAGGAATCGAGTTACACACCTTTGAAGAATCTAAACATTCCTTACAATCTCTTCAGCTTGATCGACATTTGCGACACCACAAAGGAAATCCGAGTGGAGGAACGCGTTTTGATATACTACAAATACGACAATCATCCGGTGAACTGCGTGAAGATATTTAAAAGCGCATACAACATCAAACCGTTCGGCTTCAGGCTGCTCCAGTTCAATCTCTTCAACTCGACCAATAAATATGGGATTCCGGATTTCATTTCCTTATACGACGGTGAAGTGTACAACGTCACCTCGAAACTAATAACGCAAATCACGACGAATTCCCACAACGAGAAAAGAATGTTCAAGAGCAAAGGGTCAAGTTTGAGCATCAAATTCTTCGCTAATGGAGCTAGTTCAAACCACGGATTTATAGCCGAAGTCGTGACTCTCCCCATTTCAGCTATTGGATTCAGTGAGTAGAAACAAATTATTCCTAAATTCTTTTAAATTTATTAATTGTGTAATTGTATTTTGAAGATCGCGATGTTCAGCATAATATCACGTACAGCGTTATGGAAGGAAACAGGGAAGGCGGCTTGGTTTACAATTCCGCCGGAGAAGTGAATCCGGTGGTGACGATTGACAAGAATCAGTTCAAAGATAATTGCTTGAAATTGTACGGCAACTTCACTACTTGCAAAGCGGCGGTCGATGTGGATGTGCAGAACACCCAGACGGTATTCTTCAGGGTAATTTCTACTTTGTCCGTCGGATAGTTCATGTTTTAGTTGATTTATTATTGTTTCAGAATAATTTGGTGTCTGGAAATCAGGGAGGCTTATCAATTAAGGCCGATTCGCGAGGTTCGGCAACTTCCTTGAAGGGTACCATAGAGAACAACCTGTTCGTGAACAATTCAAATTTGCCCGCTTTGTACGTAGAAGGAAGACAGTCATCGCCGTATCAAGAAGTTACGATATCACGCAATTACTTTACTCGGAACGTCGCTCAATACGAGAACAATATCGTTTTGAAACAAGTCGTCTCCATTTTCACTTACAATTACGTGAAGAGGAATATCGGAATGCAGAATTTGGAAGTATCGGGATTCGATAAAGTCAGGCTGCCAATTTACCAGACAACATCGCATAATGGATTTTATAAGTAAAAAAAAAACTTATTCAAACTCATTCTTAAACTTTCAACTAATCCGATATATTATTTCAGCAATTATGCTTTAACTAGGGACAGCAAGGCGACTATAGTCGCAGGAACAGCAGGACAACGTTACATCGATAACATATTCTTTAATCCAGATAACGATTACGAAATCATGACGGTGAACAGATCGTTGTAAGTACAATACTTTGATATTTCCTAATTGTATCGCATGCATGTAACCCAAAGTAATTGTTTGCATTCGAAATTATTTCTCTTTATGTTATGTTTGCCAAATTCAAACTTATGAATTACTGATTGCCTTTTCAAATTTCATAAAAAAAATCAATAATTATAAACGAAAAATTGAAAATTCAATTTAGAATATAAATTACATTGAACATATTACAAAAAAATGCCTATTGTGTAGTCCCGTTTCGCACCGTTTTTGATTTATTTTGTTTTGTAGTGCATTCACAATTTAAACTAATTCGCATTTTTTTTTATTTTCTATGTTTTTGCATGACTGCATGAACACAAAAGGTTTAACTTCAACAGGTAAGAAGAAGAATCTTTTTATTATTTTTAAATTTTGTTTGTTATGTAATATTCGACTTCAAATCGATTCATTATTAATTATTATATATTAATTATTGATTGACAATTTAGTACATTGGAGCTGTGGAAAACCAAAATCGATGCCTCTTACAACTATTGGGGCGTGAACACGACGCTGGCAGTTTCTGGCAGAATTTGGGACCAACTGGATGATCCGAGATTGCTGGAAGTCAACTACCAGTCTTATTATATGAACAACGAGACTATTTTAGAAGGAAAATGCCCACCTGGATGGGCGTTAGTTGGGGATACATGCTACATCTATATTGGGGCTCCAATGAATTTCTATGAAGCGCGAGCTTTCTGTCAAGTAAGTTTTGAAAGTGATGCTTTTTACTTCTTTTCTAAATATTTATATAAATGTTTGTTTCAGGCCGATAACGCTTCGATGCCTTTCTTAGTTGGCAACGTGAATTACTTAGCTTTATACGATTTTATTAGAAGACAACAGCAATGGTATTTGTATTCTGATAAAGTCTGGATACAACACATTGATATGATCAACTCGTGCACTTACTTTTCTTACCAGAGTGTTGAAAATGATGATTGCCTTCAGAGATATCCGTTCGTTTGTGAGATTGGTAATAGAAATTATGATAATTTAAAAGATTTTTTGTATTAATTAATATTATTTTTCTTGTTTAGATCCCAAAGTTTTTATAGATCCGCTAGTCTGGAGAGGAGATATTATTACTATAGGTTCAATAACTGCCAGCGTTTTAGCTTTACTACTTTTGTCTATAGTCATAATTTGTTGGTGGAATAAATCAAAGTACCGGCATGCTCAAAGATTAGAGAGAAGGAATAGCATAAGGCAAAGTTTGCATTCTTTAAGATCCGTCGGTTCGGCGCATGGATTCTCCGAATTAAACTACCGAAGAAAGCCCGGTCAATTGGTAAGATTTATAATAATCTCTCATAATTAGATTTAACATATTTGATGATTTTGCAGAGTACACGATCGACAGATACTCTAACGAAGAATTCAGACTATCGAAAAATGGTCAGCAACGGATCAATCGACAGCATGGAGAAATCCACCTATAACTCTTCGATCGAAGATACACAATCGTACGACATGTACGAGCCGCAAAATCCGAATCCTAACAGCAGTTTCAGCTGCAACACGACCATCGAATATCATAAACCGCAGTACGCGCAACCGAACTTCAATTTAGCCTACAAGAATGAGGGCTTCAAAGATAATTCAACGTTTGCAAGCAACTCTCGAGCTGCTAGCGTCCAGGAAACGACAATCAGCGATGACACCCCGATTGTTCATTCGGAAAGTGCAGAAACTTACCCGGCCAACGACTACTATCACACCGACACCCTTCCTTTGAATCGACCCAACGAGAACAATTACACACCTAATTTCCTTGATGAACTGAAGAGCAAGATGCCGGTACAGGAGACCAGCTTCGAGCAATTCCCCGAGCCGACCAGATCGAAACCGGTGATCGATCGATCGAAATCAGAAGCCCTTCTTGAGACCAACTTCGATTATGACCCCGAAGAGCCCGTCCTGAATCAGCCGATCAGAGAGTTCAGCAGGAGCAAAAGCCAACCGCTAGAAACTGCCATGTGAAATCAAGTGCTTCTTAAAACAAATTAATAAAAAAAAAATGTGATAACTAGCAATAATGGTTCTAAATAATTTACGAAACAGAGATTCATTTATCTTAACAAAAAATGCAAAACGACAAATGTGATACAAATGACTATTTTTTTATATTACTTATTTATATTCGTATAAAATAATTTTAAGCGGAAAAATACAGATGTGTTCGTTTAGTATTTAGCGTAACGTTTAGATTTTATATAATTGTATATAGATTTTTTTTATACTATATATGCACTATAAATGTTAAGACTGCATATAAATAAATTTTTATATTTGAAAATTTGTAAAACAAATAAATTTAATACACTCACTATTATTTTAATTTTCCAGTTATTATCGTACTGGTTAAACTTACGTTAATGATTAAATATAATTTGCAATGAGGGTTTGCCTCGATCAACTTTTGGAAGTTGTAAAAATGTTTAAATTCGATTAGTCTTAAATATTTCATTGTAAAATAAACAAGATATATTAAAGGTACCTGAGACTACCAAACAATTAAAGAAAACATTTTTTTAATCAATATTTCTGTAAATTTTAAACTTAATTATAAATATAATATTTCTCATTAAATATAATTAAAATAATTTTAATAAAAAAAATCTTTTTTAAGTTAAGTACAAAAATAATAATTGTGTATAATTTATTAATAATACCATCTAAAAATGTATATTTCATATTTTGATATATTATGACAATACTAAGCAAGTTATTGAGTGAATTGGCTAATAGAAAATTTGCAACAATTTACTCATTTTAAGAAATTCTTAAATTTCTTGACAACTGAATCCAACACAACTTCGTAAACTGAATCAACATCAGATGATATGAACTATAAAAAATCATTCCTTGACATACTAACTAAATTTAATGGTATTTCCTCTATCCTGTACATTTTCTAGAAAATTATAATAATGCCCTACTAGGCATGTTCAAAAGGTAGTAAATTGCGTATACCACCGCCACCACAGGGTTAAGAATTCACACACAAGAAAGATTTTTTTTAAATACAAATATTTAAGAAAAGACAATGTTGTATATTAATAATATATTGGACTATCAATTTTTATTATTTAAATGACTATGTTGCAATATGTTATGGAAACGCATACATATTAAGATTTCAAAAATAAACATTTTTCTTACATCAGCAAATATTATTTATTGCATTATGATAATATAACAGTTTCCTCTTTGGCCTTTGCATATGATATGAGCGTATTCCATGAAAAACAACTGGTTGAAATTTTATTTATTTTTTTTGGAAATCTAGATTTGTATATTATTTTTCTTGTACTTTGCTGAAGAAGGAATTTTTTAGTTTCGATAAAAAAAAATCTGACATGGTAGGCAGTAAATTAGTCACTAAGTGATGAAACAAAATGCAATTCTTCAAAGATGTTATAAGAAAAACTTTAGTTTATTTTTGTCCTGTTTTAATTATATTATAAAAAATATATGATTAACGAGGTTTAGATAAGGATAATTTACATGTACTGATATAATTTCGCATTTACGTTCATTATTTTTTTTATATATATATATACATGCTTTTTATCAATTACATTCAATGATAAAAACATATTGTTTTAACCTCGTCTAGAGTGTTTACTTTGTAATAAATAATACAGAACATTTCCAACATCTGTAAAAGATTTTGAAACAAAAATAAATATCTATTTTACTACAATCAAATCATTATTTATATTATATTGTTAAAAATATAAAAAACTAGTGCTATCAATATCATTACGCTTGAAACCAAAACGGATTACGTAAGAATTATACAATGTGCATTCTTGTAAAATATATGGCGAATGTAAAAAGTGAAGTAGTTTGCGTTTATCAAGTTAGTCAGCTTAATGGCATACATTACATATTTGGAAATATCATCGCATCATTAAACTGGCAAGTTTTAACAAGTATTCAACTTGTCTAGAGATATTTAAACTTGTTTATCAAGATGTCAAGATTCTCATCTAATTTCTAATGAATTAAACTTTTGATGACATATCAACACTCCACCTAATAACTTTTTAAATACTTACAAATCGAAGGCGTTAATATTGATAAAAAAAATATGTTTAATATTTTTCCAAAAGTAAAAAATAACCATAACAAAAACCATCACATTTCTATGAACATTTTGGTTAGAATCATCTGGAAAGCATAAAACTACATTATACCGATTTGCTATAGAATAGGACAAAAGCTGTAGTTACACAAAACCCATAACTAAAGTGACCTTTTTTATGATGTTTAAACCAGTTTCAAACCAGGTTCTTGGATATTTTAACACTGTATGACAACAAAAAAATGAAAGAACAAATATTTTCACAATGAATTACCAGTATTGCTTGTCCCAAGCTTATGTAAACACATGTCTTTAGCCCTGTCTAAATTTATTAACTATACAACTGCACACAGTGTTCAATAGAAGAAATAAGTAAATAAATCTTAATATTTAAAAGAGTAATTCAAGATAAATTACAATTATAGATATTAGTTATTTGACTGTAACCTCAATTATTCAGAAGCTCAATATAAAAGTGATTACACCAGTTTTACAACTTTAGTTACATACTTATGGTAATAATCTTCAACCGATTTGAGCATTGAGTGGAAAATGACAAGAATTACAATTATTAATGTTTTAGATATAGATATAAGTTTACCAATAAACAGTTATTAAAACAATAACAATATATATTATTGAAAAAAAAGTATAATACTTATTAACCAATTAGTATAATTGGTATACTTATTCATGTTTTACCGGCATAGCCTATGATTTAGTTAAATATTTTTTTATCGTCCTTTTTATTCACGACTGTTCTATAATAAAAACATTCAGTAAACGATCTGGCGGTTGACAAGACAAGTCAATTTTAGAAATCTGAATGATAAATATGTATAACAAATTTTGGTATAAGCAATGTACAATAAATATTTATTTTATATTGAATTATTAATTGTATAATTAAGGTGATATATAAATATTTAATGATTAATTAATTAAATATTGCATATATTTAACGATAGAGATAAATATCATATAAATTATAATTATTGAAGCTGAAAATATAAATGATCGTATCAACTTTCCAGAAATGATGACTATTATAAATATTCTAACGTCATAATTTATATAAACTTAGTTTTCATGTAGCATAAAATGGATATAGTGATGTGTCATACAATAATATTAATATAAATGTATATATAAATATTATATGATAATTATAACTTTACTGAATTCATAACAAACTAAAATATAATAATAACATTGTATAGTTTAAAAAAATTGTTTATTTTAAAGTAATTTATGAATTATTCAATGTATTGAAGGTTTACAAAATTAAAATTATAGTTTTATATTTGCGGTCAATTGCCCTTTGTGTGTTATTATATAATAAATTTTGTTTCCTATTAGTTTTGTATAATTAAAATAAAACAAGAAGTATAAAGTAGTTATAACATATGATTGCTAAACATCAAAATGTAGAGTTTCTTGCTTATGATCCTTTCAATGGTAATGAAAATAAAGAGGTTCTGGTAATTAGCGATGAATGCAGTTTCGGGTGCGATTTAAGTAAATTTCATTGGATTGCGTAATTTTTGGTGTATCACTCCGGCGGATAGTCTGGGAGACTGCAAAAGCATACTAACTTATATATATATGTATATACATATACACTCCAGAAATATAGAAGGATGTTTCGCTCTCCGGGATATTTGGGGTAATGGGTGGAAGAGAAACGGGGCGATAATTTCAATGTTACTCAGTAGGTTTTACGCTTTCCGTGTAGTTTCGTTACGACATACGCGCCCAAGTTTATATGCAGTTATGCAACACCCGAAGAGAGATGGAGCATCTGGGAGTAGGAGTGAATGAGCATATAGACGGGTAGTCTGCGCCAATCAGAATCCTTGTAAAACACAGACCTACCTTTGTCATCAATGGGTTACGGAAGAGTCCATTGCGTTGTTGGGGGGCGGTCGCCGGAGCTTCCTTGTAATATTAATGGGAACCGGTGGGAAATCTTGGGTTTTTTCGGATGATTTTCATGGGTCCATGGGATTGCACTGCCTCCGATTTTCTATTCGGATTCGAATTCGGCGATAGATGCAGTTGCTATCGATTTGCCAGCGTGTTTCTATTGGCTCCCCTCCTCAGTAGTAAGAATGGACGAGGCTCGCACGTCGCGCAGCTGACTTTACGTACGTTCAGTGTTCAGTTGTAGTACGATCCGGTTGTCGGTAGGAATCGCTCGCGAGGTCGCCGAGGAAATGACAATAGTTCTGGCCAAAATCTAATAAACAAAGAGAGAAAGAAGGAATCCCCCCAGCACAGAAGAGACCAAAAGTACCATGTACAGCGACGAATACGACCGACTGTAGTGCAGTTTTCATTTTGAACATTTGTTTAACATTTCGTATTTTGGGGGAGGGGGACCACTGCGAACCGGAATACTACTACTACTATTACTACAAAGTTGCTTCTGTTCGGCTCTCCGGTGCCCGGAATTCAATGATGCTTAAATTCCTTACACACAAACTGCGGACCCATTCAATAAACGAAAACAATTACGCTGAAAAGGTGTGTAAATACTATTTGCAGGAAACTTAACTAACTAGCAGGAAGTGCGAAACGAAAACGTCCGTCGTAAAGCCACAAAAAGAAGTAATAATAACGATAACGAAAAAAGAGCGAAGAAAAAATAAAATAAATACGGAAAAAAAATTGAACCCGAGCCCCAACGAGGAACTACTATATAGCCATACATATAGGGATGTACTATTGAAGGTCAAATAACTAAACGAAAATGGCCGACTGTGCGGCTCAAACAAAGGATCCCACTTTCCGGGTTCATTTGTCCCCCGGCAAAGCTGCAAGGATCCATCCCTGTACCCGTCAGCTCCCGTCCCGCATCTTTAAACTAATTCCCCAATCAATAAGACATCGAATTCGTTCCGTATTTTCAGCCAGATTTCCTGGCCGGCTTCTTCTGAATATGGCTGACGTTTCGGCTCTACCGTCTCACTTTGAGACCCTCAGTCTAATCGTTTTCAATTATTTCTGCAGGAAAATGAGGATCACGATTCTGGAACAGAGTCGGACGATGAAATAGATTCTTCTGGTCCAGGTGAGTTATTTCTCACTTCATCACAGACACACATATACCACAGACTCACTCAACCACACACATATACCCACACGCAATTCGCTTACATACATATATATCTATATATTCATACTCGCTTCAAGCTCGGACAACAAAAATAAATATACTTTCACCTGACCCCAACAACACTATTTACTACTTACTACTTTACTAGCTATTGGTTTACGCACTGAATGGAAATAATCTCTAAACCCGTGACTCGGAACAAAAGACAAGGACCGATTGCAACTAATTCCCATAACGAATTAAGTGCAACGATTCCTAATACTTCCGCAGAAAACTCATTTTACAAACGCATAATTAGCATCGTCAAGTCAACAAACTCCTCGAACATTATTTAATTAAAACAAGAAACTAAGAGAGAAGAGACTTCTATAAATAAACACTTATGTTCGTGTCGAGGAAAACCTATGCGATTTGCAATATTCGATCAAAGAATAGTCGAGTGATCATTCACGGCAGACACTACCACTTAATGTCCTGCATACGAGTTTTATCATAATATTCCGATTAAAGGATAGTAACCATACATTCGCAATTTCAATTTAAACGAAACACGGAAATCTTTACGAGAACTCTTAATTTTCATTTAAATATAATCGATCGATAAGATACGAGGTTTGTTATAAATACAGGAACTGATTAGGTTTATTACGCTTTCTCTCTGTCTCTCTTTTCAAATCCATATTTCTGACGCAGAAGATAAGCCCGTATTTCAAAATCTGTTACATAAGAAACGAGGTAGGAAATTTGCAAAAATTTGTAAATCCGTTGACGTAGGTCATGGTCAAAATAGAACTTAAAAATATCACTTTCGAATTTTTATATGCCGCCGCAAACAAAAAATAGTCTACGTTCCTTGGTGTCTGCGTACGCTTTGTGTATAAATACACTTGGAAAATACGTTTAAAAAACTGTGTTTATTTACATTTCTTTTACTATTCACTACTCCAGAGTGTAGGCACAAAAAAATAACATGTTTTTTTTATATATGCGTACGGTTTTGAATGGAATCCAGTTGCTGACGCCCGACTCCTGATTGCTAAGAACCACAGTTCGTACATTGATTGCGTTTCGTGTATAATTTATTTCTTCACTAGTCCAATATACTTTAATCTAATCACTTCGTACCAATATTTATCTAGACTCTCTGAATAGCTAACCAAACACATTTAATCACGGTTTGATAACGTGTGGACAGAAAAATATATATTTTTAATTACACTACATGTATTACATGAATTGGCGATAACATATTTGCCCACACATACATCGATATGTAATTTCAATTATCTTCTTCATTTTACTAATTCCATTAAAGTGTAATAACATTTATTATTAGTTATTTACTTATAATTAAGACTTATTTGTTTACAAACAAAAAATAATCATATTTAAATAATTATAATCTTATTTAATAATTAACTTACGTGACTTGTCTCCAAAATATCAAAGGCAATAGTTAGTGTTAAAATAAAACAAAAATACATAAAATATTCCTTATATGTACTTTGTCGAATTAATTTCTTGCCATACAGAACACATGTTTTAGTCATCCCCCTTTCAGAATAATCTCGAGACAAGCATATTTCTTGATATGCACATTAAAATAAAAAAAATATTCTCAGCAGTTGGTCTAGCACTAATTATTACTTAGATAAAACATAAATTAGCTCTTCAAATGGTATGAATATTTATTTTCATGACAAATACTTCATATATTTGATGATCAACAATTATAGACTCTTGTTTTATACATTAGATAATGTGATATGTAATTTATATTTATTTTTTTGCAATTTTTATTTTGAAATTAATGTATTATTAATGATCACATGATTCTATATTATTCCATAATTGATTCTGAAATTTGAAAAAACTCGACACGATGTTTAATTTTGTGAATTCACGTCCTTTCCAAAATATTTTATTCCATTTCAGACGTAATGGACAATAAATTGTGTTGTATGTAGGTGCATAGAAGCGAGATGAGAATGGGTATTTTAAACGTAATTTGTGGCACCGCGGTTTTCCGTAAAGTGAGATTCATGGCCAAGGTGGGCACAAACGGCGGTCGCGTCTTATTTTCATCTTGTTCCCTTTCTGCTCTTCGCTGAAACTTAAATATACACCTCTTTATTTATTTAAAAGCTTTTGAAACGAATTTGAGGCCCCACCGGAATTGTAGGACTAAGTGTGTGTATGTGTGCAGTGAAAGAGGAGGCAAAGATAGGGAGGGAGAAGTTAAACAAACTTTAATTATTTTCCGAAAGCTAGACAAGTTGACAACTTGGGGAAGAGAAAAAAGGAGGAAACATTGAAGTATCCTGGAGTGGTGGAGTGGCGTGCAGAAAGAGAGAGAGAAATGCAATACTGAAACATAGACATTTGGTAATGCTTGGAATGAATAAAATAACGTGTAATACATAGATAAAATGTTTATGTTGCATCTAGTTGCTTCTGCACGTATATAAGTGTGTATTCTTAAGATCAGACCGTTAAAGTTGTTGATGCCGTTACACTTCATAGACGCTGCTGCGTACGGTTAATTATACAATGTAACAAATTATATTAGGTGCTCTAAGTGTTCTCAATAGGTCAAGATAATCTTTGTGTTTATATGCCAGACCGTGGCCTGCGCATTATTCTGGCGTACGATGCATTCCGGTCGACTTCCATCCTGAGCGAGTAGTAAATTGGGTTCGGTTTTGAATAACAACATTTTTATTTCGGCGTTAGCTCGAGGTGCAGGCAGGGGCGGTGGTAAAAAGGAACATCAGGTCATGACCTCGGTCATGAAATCCATACTGGAAGAGGGTAGGGTTCAGAAGTATGCAGTCTGTTATTAGAAAGTAATGGCGCGTGACAAGAATTGAAATAGTGGGTTGGTTTACTCATCTGTGTAGCTCAGTTCACTACTACAAACACTTTGTATATGTCCACCTCACTTCGCCTCCTCTACCACCGCAATCTTCCCACACACACATACACACACGCTGCATTTGTAAACAATTACCGTACAACTCAACTTTTCGCATTGAATTCATCAAATCAGCGGGATGGAAAAAAATAAAGGAAGAAGCAACGTTCTGATTGGGCCGCAGCTAAATGACATGTCCCGCCTCTTTCTTTTCTTCCTCAATGAACAAATTACTCCGTGCTCTCTCTCTCTCCCTTTTTTTTCCTCCGCTCAGCTCTTCCACACTCGAAGCAAAACCACCCCACACCTCGCCTCCCTCTCGCGCTGACAAATTTACTCAGCGGAGGTTGAAAATTCCATCCATTTATCCATTTTCACATGTAACCTTACCTAACCCAATTTAATGTAATTTGATACCAAGGAGGTCTTCGTATTAATTAAACTCTCCGGGCTGACCTCAACTAAAATTAATTTTATTTAGCGAACATCGAACACCTCCTTCCATTTTTTTTATATACATTCAACTTAACGGGAAAATGTTTACTACTAGAAAATATTTTATTACGCGAAGATCATAATTTATGATCAATTTTATGTACCTGCAGTCCCATTTCAACACGTATCGTAAAATAATTATTTCTTCATTTTTCATCTAGCTTTTACATCTAAGCATAACCAAAAACATGATTAGTTTATGTAAGATGTAGAAAGGATTTGATTATGTAATAATAAATGGTTCAAACACGGAAATTATGGATGAACAAATACTTATTGATAAACTAGTCTTAGCGTCTTAGCATTAATTGAATAACATATAGGATTGTTATGCATCTTCAAGGATTTGAAAAGGAGGTAAACGTAATTTTTCGAGTAGGCGATATTCAAATTGTGTTTACGACATGCCGACATCTTATTTAAGTTTATTGTATTGTTGATTGCGCATCAATTACTAAGATTTACGAGTTCGCTTACATTGACAACAACATCGTTATAAAAGTTACTAATTATGAAATTAACTTTTTGGTATTAATATTATTACAATCGCAATTGTATATTTACAATAAAATTAAAATGTATATTTAGCTTCAGAAACCACACAACTTGAGTCATAGTAGAAAAAGGTTATAGAAGGTCATCTTGTACCGGAACACACATACACTTAATAATTAAACGTTATTAAATTGTTAAATGGTGAGCGTTATTAGTTGTATTCACGACGTTTTGTCATCGGTTATCAAAGTTATTACACATCAATAGTTAATTATTAAACGTTTACTTTCAGTTTATCACTTGAGTAGAAACGAGCATAATTATGATAGGTCATAATTGATACGATTCATACGAGAAAACATTACGGAATTCCATTTTAACAGGAAAAGGTTGCCTAATTAAATTGGGGTGAAAGCATTCATAAGTTCAATCAATGTCTGCTCGTGAATCTCCAATCCTCAATTCACTTATATTCATATATAATTCATGCACCGAAAACATGGAATATCGCTTAAGCTTCACCACACATCGTTTTTCTTTTCATTTAAATCTTCGAGAGACTTAAACAAACTGCAGATGCTTTGTTTTAATACAACCTGGCACATATTTGAAGGCTGATAAGATGCGTTTGCAATGTCGAATAATCGTTGCGAAAATATGAAAAGTCTCGTTTAGGAAACAATGTTGGGGCTTCATTAAGTAGTCGATATCTCTAATGGTTTATCTAAAAGGTTAATAATTTTCGTTTCGTTGTTGTTTCATATTTTTTTTTTCTCGTTCAGTTATCAGCATTTTTTTGTTGAAAATGCACATAGCATTAATTTCGCGATTCGCAAACTCGTCATATTAATTTAATTATCGGAGGCTTCAATATTCAAATCCAATGGGATAGTATTTCGCATTAAATTCCGATACCAGCATTCATCATAACTCATTTTTATTCCACGGCGTAACGATAATGACATTAATTATAATATTTTCAAATTTTATGTAATCATTTACTCTGACAAATTTCGATTGCAATTTCTGTCGCATTACATTTATTCAATTT